ATGCATGCAAAGCATGGTGTGTTTCAGGCGGGCTAAGGAGAAATCTAAGGCCTACATGTGTTCAAAAGACGCACCACTAAGCCAATGGATTCGTCTCATTACGATAAATGGGGTTGAAATCGAAACATTCGGGCTATATTTATCTAAAATGGTTCAATCAAATGGTCCCTGCAACTCATAATGAAGGATTTCCTCTGCGTTGAAAAATTTGTTTCAAGTGTTTTTCATCAGCGACAGGGGAAATCCTTCATAATTGCTACCAGATTACTACCATATTCCCTCGCATTTCTGTTGCGCATTGCCTCACAAATCAGAGTTTCGTGAAGTTTATATTAATTTAATTGTCATATTTTGACTGATTTTGGCGATTTTCAATTATTTCAACGCAGCATGGATCAGATAGCTCTCGTAGTTTGCTGAAGAATGTGGCTTTTGCTTGGTTATTTTCATGTTATCTGTGATTTGGTGCGCCGTGATCGTAGCATTATACTAATTATATCAACTTTAAAAATTGAATCAACTTTTGAAGTGAAGTTCACATGAAAATCAAAAGTTCAAGCATTTTAATTGTGTAAACATAATGATGCAACATGTGTCTCCCAGATGGAACTTATATTTCATTTGAAAACTGAAAATGGAAAACAGAAGATGGATCTGCGGAGTTACTGAGATCACAAGGTGCTCTTGATTGTTGGTAATTGAAGATGTTGAGAGAACTTGTGAATCTGCATACCAGTCCTGACTTGCTTGATTGTTTAAAACTATTTTAATTCTCATAATTGTGTAATGTGTAGTGACTGTGCACACTGCGCAGCACATGTGCGCTGAAATGTGCAGGTGGCTGGTAGGTGGGTTAAACTTCGGAGATACGAATTTGGATGTCAGTTATAAAATGGGGAATATTTGTTTCTGGTCCCTAAAAAGCTGTTTCCGGCACCTAATTGCTGATCAGCCCCAAAATGCTTATTCGACCCTAATATCTGAATCTGGCACCTAATTGCTTCCACACAGCCTAAAGTTGCCAGATCGTCTAGTTGAACTCTGTATTTGCTGTTTGCTGATTCAGCACCAAAACCAAAACATCCAGCACCTATTTTATTCCACGTTTGCCTACCTAATTCGCGTAATCTTCCTGATTTTATGTATCCCAGCAACATGAACGTTGCATTCGGTGATGTCAAGTGCCATTTTCGCCAGTGGAGATAATGATTAATGCCATTTCTAGCCAAAAGAGAATCACTAGCCAGCTATGGTGCAGCGTAGCAAGACGCTCCTATACCAGCCCGCTATGTAGAGACTAAGAGATTATTGCACCCTCAGCCATTTTAACGTGAAAAGTTTGGATCCGTCGCTTCCAGCCAGGCTCTCAGGTCATAAACTGGAGTAAAGCAAAATGTCAACTCTGAACAGACATGCCACGCAACCGGCCCTCTTTTCAATATTATTAGTTTTCTGCAATCATCGTCTGACTCCATCTCGATCAAAGGCAGCATCCGGTTTCTACAGGGGCGTTTGACTCACCGGCCACACAATAACCAAAAACAAAATCAAAGCTTAATGCACACATATGCCGTAAGAAACGGATGAAAAAGGCACAACCACGGCACAACTCTGCGCGGCAAACAACGGACAAATGTCCCACGCAAGATCCCGCGTTTCTTCAGCGGCCTTGAACGGAATGAAAACATTACATTTCTTTTTTGGAGCTATTTGATGACGTCAAAAAATACAATACCCGTTTTAATGGTCAAAATCGAGACAATTACTCACAAAAATGTTTCCCTTTAAGGATTACAAATAAATACTTTTAAATATTTAAATGACATTGTTTTTTCAAACAAATTAATATTATTTGCTTACTTAAACGTCATATACAATGCTGAGATCACTACGGGGCTGTCTTAGAGTGTAGCTGCACTGGCAACCTTTAGGCTAGACTCCAGGGGTCATTATACCAGAACAACATGATTCTACCAGCCAGTAGTTCAATTTTCTGCTAGATTGGTGCTACGCTCAGCATTTAGGTGCCAGATTCAGAAAAAAGAGTAAGGCGTACCGATGAATAGGTGCCAGAAACAGCTAATTGAGGTCATTTTCCATGATTGGTGCTGGTATCCACCAAATAGGTGCTGAGGACCAATTTTGGGGCGAGTCAGCTTTTAGGTGCCAGAAATAGCTTTTCTGGGACGCAATTAAATGGCGTCCTTATAAAATTAATGGTTATGCCTTGTAGAGTAAGCTCTGCTGTTTTTTTTTTTGTAATTGTCTTTTTTATAATTGTAACCTACAATGCTGTTAGTTTCATTTTTATTAAAATGCTCGACCAGAATTTGCACTTGTTCATGCATGAATGGCTAAGTTTGGGGTGTTTATTCAACCCTGACTGCTCAAGTTTTTCAAAGGCACATGACACAGCACGGCTAGATCAGCTGGTACCTACCTGTTGACTATTTTTGTTTTTGGTGGTGATGTGTTTGCTGTTTGTCTTTTGCAAGGTGGTCAATGAAATAAAATAATGCATTATTTTGGAATGTTTCCTTGACAGAAGCCAGGAGCCGGATTGATGTGTGCTGGTGAATGAGATGGTTCAAAAGCATTATCTGATGTTTTTCAGTGTGCATAAGCCATAACATCCCTTTCATATGCTGAAGTTTTAATAGCTTCTCAGTCTCTGTCATTTTCCTGAAATATTGGTGTAGGGTGTAGATAAGAGATATCAGTACCTTCTCAGAGGTACCTGCCTTCTGCTGGATGAATATTCAATTGGTTGGACGAAATGGACAGGTAGCCTTATGATAATGTAATGTGAAATCTTATTTCTATAAAACTTTGAAAATGAAGTTCTAATTATTCATATGTGCATACATTTTTGATGACTAAGAAAGTTTTCCACAAGAGTAGAAAATGTGGAAAAGTCTATCAAATAACACATTCTGAAGGCTCAATGCTGACAGAGTGCTTCCTCAAAGAATAACTGACTTGCTGGGTTACGAATATTTCTTTATTTTAATTTTCAAATGTAATGTACAATACATTGCAGTGAAATAACAAAATAGTGCAGTAAAATAGTATTGGCGACGATCAAACAACACGTGCGCCATTGATGTCTGCAAAAATTGCTACCAGATTGCTACCAAATCCGTGACGTAGCTACGGCGCCTTTATTTCCCTAGTGAACCAACCTGAGTAGTAAAGTAATCTTGGTAAATTCAGCTTGCCTAAAACTCAATTATTTTAGATGATCTAGGTTGACCTTGACCCTGACCTTGACATCTGTACATCGTCGAACAACATGTTCCATGATAGGTGGGAGGTAAGACTGGCAAAAAAGGCCGAAATCAGGGCGTCAAAAGCTCACAAGGCCCATAGCCAACGCAAGATGCTGAGGATTTGTCATTTGGGTCATGACATGACCTGAAAAACAAGGTCATATCTCCGAAACCAAAAACCACAGAAACTTGAAATTTTCAATGAACATCAAGAAAGGATAGAGGAGCAGCTATACGACAAATAAGCCTTGTAGCTCTAAAAATGTTGAGTGCAGAGCAGAAACACTACCTGGGGGTGGCAACTCCCCCCCCCATGTGCGGGCGAGGGTTAAGTCCATCGGTGGCTTTCCCGACTCGTTAGCTCAATTTGATCGAGAGTTATCGACAAAAACTCTTATGACCCTAATGACGTCATAAATGACGTCATTAAAGATCAACAAGCAAAAATGAAGCATCGTACCTTGCAAGGAGTACACGAAATCACGATTCCATGTGCTTGGGATAGTTTGCGATCGTTGCCGGCGCCAAAATAGCAATTTTCATTTTCCCCCTGTTAACTTCAATGGTGAGGTCACGTGACCGACCTGACCTCATGTGATGTTAAGGAAAATCCGAGATGTACGCGTTTCGAGACCTCTGGAGTATTCTGCATCCTGTAAGTTTCATCTTTCTGTGAAAGTTCCTCTGACACTGAGGACGTTACGAATTTGCAACATCTGAGGACCGTGCAGAGGTTTATTTATGATGTCATAGGTCAGTGACCTGACCTGAAAACGTGGTTGGCCTCACAAGATACAGCTTGAATCGAAGGATGCAATGCAAATGCAATGCAAAGTATGCAAAGTTTCGGCTTCCTATCGCCGGGATGTTCAGAGCTATCGCTAAAAAAAGTGCAAGGGGAGGCGCCCCTTCCCCCTTGGCCGGCGAGGGTTATTGTTTTACTTCTAAAAAATATATATGTGGCTCAATTTCGCCCGGTCCTTTGCCAGAATGTTGATTAGAGATTCATATCGGTTGTGTTGTTTTTCGCAATATATCTCATGCACGAATTTTGATCAATTCCCCAGGTTATGAAACTTGTTGACCCAACCATCTGACGTATTTCCAAATATTTGGGTGACGTCCCTAAAACATTGCCTCCTTGCAGCTTGTTATTGGTCCTTAGCATCTCCTCCGTCCTCCTATCTCTCACGTTCCACATTTCAAGTTCAAATTTAGTCCGCCTCTTTACCCTCGCAGTCCTTGTTTGTTGCCCGTTGTGTGTCTTGAGAATGGATTGTGTGTGTCTTGAGTCGGTGAGAATGGATACTCTAAGCTGCACCCGCTGTATTGAACTTGTTTTTACCTCTGGCTGATTTATTATTATCACGATTTACAAATGGGTTTTTATTACGAAACGGTGTAGGCCGGCTTATTTGAGGCAGAGCTTGCTTAGTGAGGGCCATGCTTGTTTACGAGTTTTTCAAGTTTTATTTTATATTTTTTGAACGCGCGCATAATGAAACATCAAACATCAGATGGGTATACTCGTATCAAGGGCAAAAATTTCCGGAATGTGTCAAATAATTGATTTTCGTTTAGTTCAGATTCACTGTAACTGTATTCGCCCCATTGGTTGGTTTGGTCAAATGTCGTTGGCTCAAATAAGCTCGCTCAGGTGTCGTAAAACCATCTGACCTGACTCGACCGGGTCATCAAGCCGTCTAATCCAACCTGACTCTGGCTTCTCAGGCAGCCGGCATCTTGAAGCGAGCCGAGGGCATTCTGGTTCTATGGGTGTCGAACCCGAGCCGGGCGGCGCGCGAGGCCTCGCCCTCGCCCTCGCCATCGCCTTCGCCCTCGCCCTCGCCCTCGCCCTCACACCGGCTGGCCGAAGAGCCGGCAGTTGTCGCCGATGCAGAGCCGGCCGGGGAGCCGCCTACCGCCGCCGTCCAGCCCGAAAAACCTCGTAAGTCGGGTCGGAGGGGCTTTAACCAGAGGGCGCGATGGGAGGCGGGCTGCTAACTGGCGTCGATGACCGCGCGCCGTGCATGGTTTGGTGCCGCACGAGCGGATGGGATCCGTTGCGGATCTGTTATTTCAGTTCCGATGCTTTATTTGGCTGGCTGTGACGCACTTACCGGGGTTACATGAGCGATCCGTTCCAAATACGCACTACGCTAATGCGCATCAGCTCCCCACAAACGTATCTACGGCACCGGTTACATGAGACTAATTCGTTTTATCTACGTCAAACGGATCTTGTTTGGCTCTACCGGGCTGACTCCCCGACGGCCGGTAATTCGCATCACAAACGGAATAGGATTAGCGTACAGTCATGGCACAGTTGCGGCATTTACCGGGACGACTGAACTAAATTTTAAATACTTTTATCATTTGATAGGCTCAAAAACATTTAAAATTAACATGAAATCAAAAAATGAAAACAAAGTTTTCTTGTTTTAAGTCAGTGGGCACTGATTCGCCATGCAGCGACAGCAGGGTGGTCAGACAAAATTATCTATCAAAATATTTCATTCAATTTAATTCACATGCAAAGACTAAACCAAAATACCAACATTTTTTTGCTATTTTCTACGAGGCAGCCAATAAAAAAAATGCTTAGTATTTTCCATTTTGACGCTTCCAGTCAGCAAAGAATAGTTCTTGTGAAATACGGCCCGAATCGTGTGCCTCGGTCACATGAACGATCCGTTCCAAATACGCACTACGCTAATTCGCAACAGCTCCCCAAGAACGCATTCGGTGCACCGACTACATGAGCAAATTCGTATCAGTGACGTCAAACGGATCTAGTTTGGCTCTCGGCCCGATGCGCATTACAAACGGAATAGCATACAAATGTGGCGCACTTCCGTAGCAATAGAGGTGACTGAATTAAAAACTTAATATCTTATGTCTTTTTTGCATTTAATCTCCTCTAAACATTCTCAATTAACTTAACAAAAAAAGTTAAACATAAAGTTGTCTTGCTTTGACTCATCGAGCACTTGCCTCTCTTGATTCGTCTGTAGTGCTGTCAGAAAAATGTTTCAACTGAAAGTACTTTGATATTTTTTTTTTTGGTTTTCACTATATTTATTTTTGAAAACTTGACAAAATACAGACATATTTTTTAATTATTATTTCTAAAGAACCAAATGAAAAAAATACCTATTATTTTGCATTTTAATGTTTCTTTTTGGAAAGAAATAGTTCCTGTAATACGTATCTTGGTCCTATTCGCTTCTAAGCCTCTTTCCCTGCGGATTTTGTTCGGACCGCCGATTCGTATTAGCAGGTGGATACATGAGTCGGTAGTACGCTCCTGATTCGCATTAGCGGTGAATCCGATCGTGATACGTATTTGCTTTGCTCATGTAACCGCGGATCGGATCGCCGATTCGTACTAGCAGGTGGCTACATGAGTCGGTAATGCGTTCCTAATTCGAATTAGCGGCTAAATACGTATTTACTGTGCTCATGTAACCCCGATAACTGACTGCGAGAACGGCCAATAATGGGAGATTTTCTAAGGCTAACTTTTTTCGGCATGTGCAGTCATCCTGCCGTTCAATCACTATCCTGATCGGGGTGAATTGGCCGTTTTGAAAACGATATATCTCAAAATTTACGAAATATGTCTATGTTACAGGCAAAGTGAAAACCCGGGCATTTTGCAAAATGCCTAGGCAGTTTGCAAAATGCCTGACCCGCCAGTCATTTTGCAAAATGCTTAGGCAGTTTGCAAACTGCCTGACCCACCAGGCATTTTGCAAACTGCCTAGGCATTTTACAAAATGCCTGACCCGCCAGGCATTTTGCAAAATGCCTGAGTTTCCATATATTCCACATTTTTTGTTGACTTCAGGCGTTGACCATAAACGTTCCACTGAGCCTGAGCCTGAGCCCAAATACAGGGGTGTCACGAATACAGGGTGTTACGAAATTGTTGCGGGATATTGTACTTGTGTCCCGAAATTGATTGCTCGTAGTTGCGTCAGTGTTCTCCAGCACCTCGCTGACAAGTTATCACCGGCCACGTGGTCTGTCCCTGCGGCACATGGTGAAGCTCAAAGAGGCCTATGTAGGCCATCATGCCCCAAACGAGAATCGCCAGTGGATGCTTCACTGTCTCGACGGTGCAGCGCCTCTGAGCTGCTGTTGGCCCAGAACTGTTTGTCGGGATGGTTAGTGACTAAGAAAAGCTCTAATATCGCTTCATCACTGAAAAAGTCTGAATCTCTAGTCCTGAATGGTCCAGATTTGGTGGGTCTTGGCGAAATCCACCTGCATCTTTTCTGGATGACGGTATAAAGTCAGGGTTGCAGCCTGAGGCTTAGCGGCCTCAGCTTCATGGTAAGGTCTTCAGATACCGGGGGATGGCCGATTTAGATGCCGAGCGCCCTGGTCCAGATGCCCTGGTGCTGAACCCGTTAAAATTACACCCATTCAGCACTTTATAGGAGGGACATGGAATGGACAACATAACAGACCGTGCCAACCGCGCATCAATTTCGTGATATCTGTAAACTACGTCTTGCGTCATTCCGTCGAGATGAAACTACCACTGAATGGACTTGAGCCACCGTCTCCGTACCTTTCGCATATACGGAGTTGACAGTTGTAGCCGTGTGTATAAAAGCTGCGATGTCCAGTATTCTGCTCTGGTGGGCTACTGTTCTGGCATAGACGATTGATAATGTAAACGTGTAACGATCAAATTTTCGTAATTTGATAAGAGTATTCTTTTGTGGTCAATATCCACCCACAGTATTTTCAAAAAGTCACCAAGGGCTCTTAGAAACAGCGCAATTATTGTACCGAGCGTATGTTTACCAACAAAACCACGCCCGGTGCTCGGCACCCGATGGCCGCTGGGGCTCAGTGACCTGAACTCGGCGGCGCTACCCGGAGAACGCAGTGTCTTCTCACTTAGTGCGCATTGACAGCGATTAACTTTTGTAAGCGCCAGTTAGAAATGATGCTTACTTATGCATCACCGCTAGTGCGAGTTTGATGTCAGGCATTTTGCAAAATGCCTGGGAAAATATTTCAGGCAGTTTGCAAAATGCCGGGTGGGTCAGGCAGTTTGCAAACTGCCTAGGCATTTTGCAAAATGCCTGGCCGGTCAGGCATTTTGCAAATTGCCTAGGCATTTTGCAAAATGCCCGAGTTTTCACTTTGCCTGTAACATCTACACACTTTTAACGCTGACATCGTTTTTTAGCTTTATTCTGGCACAGGAAGAGGCCGCCGGCGACGCTCGTCGAGAGTAGATACCTGCTTACGTCTTCCCAATGGCTGCTCGATCCGACATTTCCTGGCCTGCCAGTTCAGCCAGGCTAGCTTTGGCCCAGCATAGCCGCCGCCCAGTGCCTGGGCGGTGACGCGTTCAAAGGGGCTCACAGCTCGCATGGTGCCGTGGCTGTCAAAATCTCCCCTTCCATATATAAGGCGAACGGCTGAATTCAAGTTCCATTTATGTCAAGACTGAAGACGACCAATAATGGCTGCACCACATTTCTTTAGAGTCGGGCCCAAAATGTCCCATGCTCCACCCCTCCATCACGTTACCCTGCCTTAGCGTGGCCTCAGTCACATATGTCCATGGCTTGTCTCATAGTGCCGCTAGTTCAGCATAGGCGGTCGTAGCCATCTTCCCGCCATCTGGGGGTAATGGGTAGCAAATGCTGGGGACTGCACTTACGCGATACGAACTGCGGTCCTCAAATCGGTAGCAACTCCTGTGGTACACACGAGCGAAGGCAAATGACTAAGAAATGTTCGTGCTTTTGATCTTACCATGACACTTACGATCATCATGCATTGCATTATAGGCATGTCGTAGAAACCTGATGCTAATATTATCCCTCGCCCTGGCGGGGGGGGGGGGAGTGATGCGACCCCCCCCCCGAACGTTTTTTGCGATTGGTGTCGAACCCTTAGATGGATCGTGCTGAAATTTTAAATAGCCTATGGGTATATGGGGCATCCTTTGCGCAACTTTTGGTTAAAAAATATTTCCAAGTCATGTCGACGTGTTTTTTCCAAACTCTATGCCTATGTTTTCCGTGAATTTTCGAGAAGCACGAAAGATCCCATTTCAAAAGTGTCCAATCATTCAATCCTGATCAAATATGTGTGTTAGTGAGCTTCTTCTGACATTTCTTGATCTGCCAAGATAGACAAACTTGGGAAAAAACGAGTCACTGTACCTTTTTTGAAAATTTATTATCAACCCGTCGGAAATTCACGTGAGAACAGATATGGGGTTTGGAATACACACGGGGACGTCAGGTCACCGAGCTATAACGTCGTAATAGGTACAGCCTTCGACCGTTTTTGACAAAATCGTACTTTCCGCGTAACTGGACGTGATCTCATCGACAAGTACAAAACTATTCCGTGTGATTTAGGTCAGATTTTGACAGGACATGAGTCTTTACATTGTATATTAACCTTTCTAAGGTCAACCAAGGTCAATGACCTCGCATGTTCATTGTTCATACGATGACCTTTGTGAGTTATGGTTAGTTGGGTTTCTTGAGGCCCTGAAACCGAATCTGTGGTTCAATTTTCACCTATACGCCTTAAAAATGTTCCTTGACCTTAACAAAGTCAATCCAGGTCTATTAAGACCGTCCTCGCTGGCGGCAGGTGTGACCTCCCGTGTTCCCGGGGACTACGTCACGCCAGTAAGGACTGAAATACGGTCAACTATCCATTATTTTGTTGCAACTTCGTTGTGACACACGGTCGTGAAAGTTCATGTCGCTCTCTTTCATAGATTGGCCAATATTGGCTTGGAAATAACTTGGAAAAACAATAGCTGTTCCCGAAATTTGCCTTTGACAAAGATTCTTACAGATAAGGTTGGGACGCGAGTCACGTGATCCTTTTTCTGCTTTTCCCAACCCTACTCACGATTTTCATAAGCCTTGATTTATTCCTTGCACAGAGGCGATTGTAGTTATTTCATATACAAAAACTAATTCAATGATATTTGAACTTAACAAACAGATTTTACTCGCAATCT